GGATTTCAGGATATTCTGCAGAAATCTCCCTTGTAGTTGCATTAGAGTAAAATCCCTGTGCAGCTGGGGATTTGCACACTGTAGCTGAATCACATGGCATCTGTGTTATAGTACAGTCTTTGCAAGGAGGGATCTGCAGGTTCCCAGAGACTGCAGGAACCACAAGAAATCTGTAGAGCAGCACAGCATGTTCAGAGCAGAGGCAGCTCGGGGCATGAACATCACCGCCTCTGGGGATCTCTGCTTCCACAATTTTTTGCTGAGACTACAGAGAAAATGCATTGGAATATCTGCCCTGAGCAAAGAGGGATGTGCAAGGTCTTTGAGATGTTGCAGGAATCACAGAAAACTTCTGTTACAAGATGGAGTCCCTTCTGCTTAGAAATTATTAGGACTTGCAGCACCCAAGAGATGTGAGCTGAAGTGACAGCTACCATGCATAGAGATGTGGAGCGCATCTGCAGCAAACCTAAGATCTCAGTGCTCTAGCTAGTGTTGCATAAAACTCTGAAGGCTCCTCCATCTGCCCACCTGCCTAGCATTTTCGGAAAGCAGACAGGTTAGCTTTGATCTTTGTGAAACAGTCCTCCCTGGCTTTACTTCCTCTGTGAACAGAGTGGACCTCCCGTTTAGGGTCTAACAAAGTGCGTGCAACCTGGCGCATAATGAAACTCTCAACTGCTGCCCTAATGTTCGGGATTTCCTTAGCAGGGAAAGAAAAATGTCTCCCTGTTTTACCTACCCATCTGTGTTTTGAGCTCCCTTCCTTATTCATTTTTCCACCTCTCACAAATCATTACATAAAAGCAAAAAGAAAAGCAAAAAGAAAAGCTTATTTTGGAGGTGATTAAAAATGAGGAGAAATTATCCCATCACCTTCTTACAAACCAAAACATTTCCCGTAATATCTGACAGACACAGAGCCAAATCTCTTATTCCCCACTGTTTAGCTTGCTGTTTGACAAGGTGCCTCTGTGCCAGCCTCCCTTCCCCTCAGCTGTGCCAAACTGTTTAGGCAGACACTGTTTGCTTTCTGCAAACACCCAGGAACACAGTGTGCAGCACAGGGTATTGACAAACTCATCACTGTGCCTAAAAATACCAATGGATATGTGACCGTATCATCCCTTTGCCTGGACACAACCCAGGCAGGGGGAAATTTCCACATTTACAGCAATAATCATAAGGCTAACGTACCTAGGCTGTATTCATCGCTGGAGTAACGCTGCTGGCTCCAGTGTGGCAACTAAAGGGGGTGAACTGGCCACTGTAACTTTGCTGCACTCAAAGAAAGAATAGTGTTGCTGTATGTAAGATAGTATAAGGAGTCTCAGTCCACACCTGCTCTTTCCTTTTCCATTTCCTTCTGCAGCCACTGCCCAATTCTGCTAATGTACCTTCCTCCTGCCCTGCCCTGGTCCTGGACTCTGTGCAGCCTTATCAGTGGCATCCACCTTTGGGCCTTCTGTTTGAAAGCCTGAAGAGAAATTTTAGAGGTCTTTCAGATGCTTCAAGGTTTGGGGACAATATAAAGAAGTATAGGCTTGCAACTTCATTCTCCAGGAAAAGCCAGCAGGAGAGCTGGAGTCAGAGGAGCTGCCGCAGCAGGGGTGCAGGGATATCCTTTCCCTA